GAAGCAAACACAAAGGAAAACATTTATTAAAAATTTTTTTAAAGCATCTGCATTGTTTTACACATTTGTTGTAATTCTGATGCACAAATGTTGTAGGTGATTTTCTACTGCCTTGAATTAAAATTTCATTAATGTTCCAGATACATTTAATGGAAAGACTTTTCATCTTTCCTGAAAATAAAATCTGTCAAATCTCTCATTCTGTGACAAAACTATATGAATTTTTAAAAATCTCCAATTGTGTCTAGAAAGAGCTTAGACAAGCACATTTATCAATGTATTACATGGACTAGAGTGAACAAAGACACACACACACATTACTGACAGCAAGTCGGACACAGTTCTTTTAGTATATTTTAATTACTTCTAATGTGTTTGTTATACATGCTAAAGGGAGAGGCACTACGGTAAAACATGATTTTGTTGATTTCAGTTGTCAGTAATTGTATGTAATAATAGGTACAAATGGGAGACAACAGAAAAGGTCAGTTACAAGTGAGTTTGTTTCAAATGAGATTTATTTTATTGAGAGCCTTCAGATCTCTGGATAATTTTACTGCATCTCTGACACTTTGAATTCAGGGAAGTGTGAGGTAGTTCCTGGGTTGGACCTACACAGCTCAGCATTTCCCTAATGATCCCAAGCAACAACTGGCCAAAGATCACATAACCTTAGTGTAAGCATGAACCCTAAACTATTTTAAATGACTACTGAGATCATTTCTATTTATTTTTTTAAATGAAAGATTGTTTACTTACATGTAAATAAAATGAGCTGCCTGCATTAGTTAAGTAAACAATATCACAGTATAAACTACTAATTATTAACATGGTATAGACTATTCCAGTTCATAAAAGTAATATAATGAAACAATATATTAGTGTTAAGCTATTTGAAATACTTTTCTGGAATAAATTATCAAACTCCTCTGTACTCTAGCATGCCAATATTGTTTTACAGTTTATACCCTGTTATTTATGGCTTTTTCTCTTGTTTCCCAGCAGCACAACTCTTCAGACACAGGTCTTTGCAGCAGTAGGATCTCACTGACAGTCTCTCTGAGATGAGCCCATTCAGAATAAGAAGGCAGTTCTCTGCCTCCATTCTACTCTCTTTTCTCAAACATATCTTTCCTCACTGCTCTTCTTTTTCATGATGCAAAGGTTCAGGCTCAGCAACCCATAACTGACAGGTCTGAAACACTATTTTCAACGTCTGGTTCATACCACAGGTGATCATATGTATATAACAGACTAAGTTGGAATGAAGTCAAAGTTCAACTTTGTTACAAATGACTTGCCTGTTGGTGTTTGGGAGAATGTCTGCATACAACTCATTCCTAGCTTTAATATCAAAATTTAATATCAAAGTGTGACTTTGGGCTCAAATATACAAACCCAACTTTATACTTCTGAGATATGTCAGGAAGAAGAGACTGTACATTATGAAGTGCTATGTAAATAAAAGAACAAAATTTAAATTTTAAAAGTTATAGGGAGAATTATATTAAGTACTCATATGTTTGCATTTTGTAGTAAATTTAACCAACAAACACTGGATTTACAAAGGCAAAGCGCTCACTGCTAGGCTATCTGTAGTTAGGAGAATTTTGAAGAAATACCATTTCTTCCATACAGATATTTATATTCTAGATTGGATAATAACATAATTCCAAACATAAAAGGATGCATTAAAAATATATATAACTGGTAAAACTTCACACTTTGAGGCCTCACTATCATCAGTCTCTCTGGTCCTGATCAATCAGCTATGACCAGGAGGGCAGATAAGAAAAACAGATGTGGCCACTGAGCAAAATCCTTTTAATATAGGCAACCATCACAAATCCTAATACAATGTCCTTTGTAATTGCAGCAGAACCTGAGTACAAAGTTTTATATAAATATGGTGTTCCTCACTTACTCATTAAACTACAGACAAAAATGTATGAGGCTAAAGAGAAACTTTAATGGAAAGCAGGTATTTCTGCAAAATGAGGCTTTGACAGAGGAAAACTAAAGGGGAAATGATGGTAACATTTCTCTGGTAGTTCTTTTCAGACTTAAAGACTTATTTTGCTTCCAAAAGTATTACGACTAGAATTATGTGTTCTACATGAGCCATTTAGGTTGAGATCGATGATGAAATCCACAAACCAGAGACAGGAAACATCATTAAAGAGAAATGGATTCAGGAAAAGAGGGTGGAAGTAGAAGAAAATGCTTCCATTCTAGAGCAGATCCAGATCACATGGTAAGATCTTTCAGGTCAATAATCAATGATTGGGAATTCTTGGGCTCCCAAAAGCTTCTATGTATACTAATGTTTTTGTTCGTATATTGGCCATTATCAGTTACAAAATACATTCAAAACATACCTTAAAAAAATACATAATTCTGATGAAAGAAATCAAAGAACTAAATAAGTGGAAACAGCTATATACCATATAATTCCAACTATATGGCATTCTGGAAAAGGCAAGACCATGGAAACAGTATAAAGATTATTGGTTGCTAGGGGGTTAGAGGAGATGGAGGGTTAAATAACAGGAGTGCAGAAGGATTGTAGGGCAGGAAACCACTCTCCATGACACTGTAATAGTGAATACATCACTATAAATTTGTCCACACCAACAGAACGTATATCAAGAGTGAACCCTAAAGTAACCTGTGAACTCTGGGTGATAATGATGTGTGTCAGTGTAGGTTCCTCAACTGTAACAAACATACTATTCTGGAGGGATATTGATAATGGGAGAGGTTATGCACTGTGAAGGTAGGGGGTGTATGGGCTATCTCTACCTGCTGCTCAATTGTGCTGTGAGTCTAAAATTGATCTGAAAAGTTAAGTCTACTATAGAAAAAACAATTTTTGTTAACTTAAGACATTCTGACACAAAACCATTCTATATAAATTTTATGAAGAATTTATTTTCTAGTTGAATTCTGTCTAACTTTGCCCCCTGGGTGGTATTTGGTCCCATTTCAACCATTTGGCCACCTTTCTAACAGCATTCCCTCTCCCAACCTGCTCCTCTCCTTACAGAAATTTTGTGATAACTAAATACGAAGCACACAGCCTACTTCTGGTGAAGCAGTTCCCAAAATAGTACACAGAAGTTTTAATGTTTATTCACATGCCAATATCTGTATTGTAACAAAATTTGGTTGTGGAAATATATTTTCATGAAATGAACATAAATGAGGATCAATTAAGTGATTGATAGGTGAAGAGAGGCAGAAATCCTTAAAACACATATATAAGTGATTGATAGTTCTTCATATATTCTAACACTGCCCCATCCTATGCCCTCAACCATCCAGATTCTCTGCTCCTTTAGGCTTATGATTTCTTTGTTGTTCCAAAAGCAGTTATTGAGCAAGCTACTAAATCATTACAATTGCACATGATTCCCCTGATGTAAAACTCCAATTTTGCATCCATTTTTATGAAGTGCTACAACTCAGTAACAGATTGTGTTAGAAAGGAGAAAAAAACATTCTCAGGCCTAAAATGTGAATCATGTTTTCAGTAAATTTGCAAGGAAACATAGTTATCACATTTCTGTTTGCTAAAATAATTTTGACTGATAGCTTTTCCCATATATTTGGTTATTTGTCCTTAGGATATACTGCTATGTTTGCCTTGCAGTTTCTTATTAATTTTTCACCATTATTCTCAACTATACTGCAATTCTTTTGACACATACAAACTCTATGATGTTCCTCTTCTCAATTGCTCATTTATTGAATTTGAATTAAAAGTCAGACACAGTGTTAAATGTTTTTGCATATGTGTCATTTTTTATTTTCAGTTTCCTAATTGTATTTATATGTTCTACTTGGTCTACTAAAACAAGTTTTCTCTCAGCTGTGATCAAATTCCCTCACATTGCAAATGGCAAACTAATCATCTGCCTAAAACAATCTGCCTTTTTTTCATCTTTATTCTCAAACACTAAAAGGAACTTTGAAGGCAAAAGTGATGAAACAAAACTTGTTAAATAATCAACTTCCACCAAGTATGCATACAGACACACACACACACACAGACAGAAGATAGTGAATTAATGCTCATTACTGGGATTGACAAAATTCTTGTAGATTATCGTAAACCTTGGCAACTTTCATCTTTTAATATATTTTATTATTTCCCTGAAAATCAAAACCATATGTGAATTTTGAGAATTAACTCAAGCTCTTCAAGATATATCCTTTTAAATAATTCTGCTGAATATCACTTGCCAATATTTTATTTATGATTTTATATTTCTCTATTTGTAAGCATACTCAATAATTATTTTATGATTTGTCAGGCTTTAAGTGACAATTATACTATATTTGTTAAAGAATTGAGGGACTTTGAATCATTTACTATTCTCTGGAGAGTTTAAATAAGAGATCATCTGATCCTCAAAAATTTGGACAACACTCTCTATCTAGATCTAGGGTATTTTGTGGATACTTTCCTGACGTGCTGGGTTGAATAGTATTCCCCAAGAGTTGATGTCCTTCCTGAACCTCAGAACACAACCTTACTTGGAAACAGGGTTATTGCAGATATAATTAGTTAACATGAGTTCATATTAGAGGGCAGGCTTTTAATTGAATATGAACTAGTGTCCTTATAAGAAGAAAAGAGATAGACACACACATACACACACACACACACACACACACACACACACACACACACACACACACACACGAGAAGAGGAGGAGTCTCCCTCCAAGGCATCAGTGAGAGCATGGTGTGACCTACCAATATCTTGATTTCAGACTTCTAGCCTCCAGAGATGTAGAGAATAATTTTTGGTCATTTTAAGCCAACCATTTTGTGGTAATTTGTTATGGCAGCCTTAGGAAACTAATACACTTAGCAACATATATGTAATATCTTCTGTGGTTTTTGAGTACTTCCTGATCGTTTTTGTTTTATTTTATTTTTATTGGAATAAAGTGGATTCCTGATTCTTTTCTTTCATTAATTCATGTTTGGTCCTTTGTATTTTCTCAGAAAAAGTGTTAATGCTACCAATATTTTCCAGTTTATTAGCCAGGAATCGTAAAGAGCGGTCTTGTTTAATCAACTCTTCAACGGTGATAGTATAATGTACTCTTTCTTGTTTGTGTTTCCCCTTTTAATTAGTCTGCCAGATTTTGCCATTCTTCTCTGCAGGAAAACAGAAAGATGAACATTTGTATTTATTTATTGATCCCACTGTCAGTCTATTTTTGAAATATTAGTTTCAGTTTTTATCTTTCTTAATGCTTTTTTTCCCATTTTCTAGCTTCTTCAGCAAAATTAGTTTGTTGCTTTCATGCCTGTGTTATAGTTATGAATTTTCATTGAGACTACTCAGCAGCTGACTTCCCTTCAAATTAGGGACAGAATAATCAGATAAAGCCAGTCTTCTGCCTTCCAAAGGAGTTGTCTGCCTGGGTTTCTTGGAGACTTCTTATTAAGTAGGGTCTCAGGTTTGCAGGTTTCTGGCAGTAATCCTTTGTCATTACTTAGGAGTCCGTTGATGTAGTGGTAAGGTGTGGAGAAAGGGGAAGCATTCCAGAGCCCTAGGATTAGCTCTCGGCCTTTTGTAAGTCTGTGTTCCTAGACTGGGACCTTTGCAAGTATTTCTCAGCTTCTTCTCCCTGCTCAATCTTAGGTAATACAGGAAGGCTAGAGGGGGGCTAGTTTTTGATATCTCCCCTTTAGTAAAAAGTCTAAGTCAACCCTAGTAAAATTTGGTTAGGCTCTGGTTACTTCAAGGTAACCCCTTGAAGGCAGGCCTAGTTAAGAACAGAAAGGTCTGGACACATTTCAAAATGGTTACTTTTCCCTTTCCCCTGCCAAAAACAGGAGAGACTTTTACTCTCATCTTCACAGTGGGAGTTCAGTCACAGTGAGAGTCTTAGTTTTATCTGGAGGTAAAATTCACTAGTAATTAATTACAATGACAAATTACTAAGAATGAAAATTACAGGGTACTATGAAACATATAATAAGGGAAACTGAGATAATCTGTGGGATCAGGGAAAGTTTTCCTAAGGAAAAAACTGAAGTGAAAGAACAGAGGAAAATATTTCAAGCAGAAGCAAGTGTAATCTTTGCTGGGCAGCTGCGTCTGGGGGAGCCTCTCCCGGCGCACTAGGTGAAGCACTGGGAGAAACCTCAGCCTGGGCGGACGAGGGGCTCTTGACTCTGAGTGAGAAATAATTCTCAAACAGGTCAGATGAGTGTAGGTAAGGAAGGAATTCATTAAAGCAAGAGCAGCAGGTAATGGCGGCTGCCTTGCAGGTAGCAGAGAACAGGAATGTGCAGAGGGAAAGTTCTTGGCCTAAGGCAGATTCCCTTGCCAACTCATGAAGCCAAGGTCACCTGGCATCCTGTGTCTGCTTGGATGGACACAGCACGGGGACTAGCTCCTACCACTCCAGGATTTAAGGGGAGCCATGGAGCACAGGATGGAGTGAGATTATGTTCTGAGAACTTCCCAAAAGCAAAGAAAGGAGATTTTCAGATAGGCTACTAAGAGCAGATTGCACAGCAGGAGTTCCGTCCAGATCACCCAGGCGATGGAAACATGCAGGCCCAAATCTGTGCTCTTAGTAGCCCCTTCCTACTTATTAGGAGTAAACAGAGACAGAGTGAAGACCTGGAAATAAAATGAAATAGCAAAGAGACAAACTGCAATAATTTGAGAAATGAGAAAGCTTTATTTGAAAGTATGCTTTTAAAGAAAGGAAAGTATGGGCATCCTCAGAAAGGAGGTACACTGAAAGCTTGGGGATTCTGTCTTTTAAGACTTTCAAGAATGGGGCAAAGGGCAGGGGGTGGGTTGTTGGGTGTAAGCTTGACATGGTCTCAAGATGCTCATCTCTAGCAAGACACCATGTCTCCTCTCCTCTATTATCAGTCCTCCAGCTGATTCTGCTAAATAAACCCAAACACCAGGGATTTATTTATACTGTTCTTCTCCAAGATAGTGGTTACCCTCAAGCAGTGGGGACACATCAGTTAGACTGCCTACCCTGCCTTAGGATAGGCTGTTGGGTTATTATCTGATTACCAGAGAATATGTTAGGAATCTTACTTCTCAACTCTGTTTTTGAAATGGAATCTTAGCCTTAAGACGGGGTCCCTCCTATTCATACTGTACTGTTTATATCTCAGCATTTTTCATCATAGGCAGGAAAAGTTAATCACGATGCTTGTCCCGTGTCCCTGCCCTACCTCACAATTGTTCTGAACTAGGAAGGCACATGGAACATATGAGTAAATGAAAGAAAAATCAGGGTGACTAGATTACAGAAAGAGAGAGGAGAGGGGCTTAAGATGAAGCTGTGAAGGTAAGTAGGCTGAAAGCTTTGATAATTATTCCAAAAACAATGAGAAGCAACTTTAGGATTAGTAGAGTCAAAGTCTAGATAGACTTTTGGGCTGAAAATGAAGAAGGAATAATAGATATTTTCTTACATTGCTCCTTTTAGTTGCTCTTCTCTCCTGAAGTGGAGAGATAAGCAAATGCTGAGTTTGTTCCTTCACCCTTCACTTTTCTTGGCTCTGCTACCCTGCTCTGCCTCTATCATATCTTGCCAGCTGCAAGGGAGGAGAGAAAAGGACCATGAAGGGGGCAATTTACTAATCTCTGCAACACTTGTATCAATCACAAAAAGTCCCCAATCGGTAATTCTAGTTAATCTTTCATTTTGGTTTTGAATCTATTCCAAGGTTTCCAATCTGGGAAATCTGACTACAAGGAGTCCTTGAACCAGTAGAAATTATGTGCAATGTTTTGTGTGTGCATACCCCTGTATATTTGGGGAAAGGTAAAGGCCCACAGCTTTATCAAGTTACTGAAGGGTTCTCAAAATTCCAAATTGGGGATGGGGGAGAGGTATTAAGTTTTTCCATGAAGTGAGAATTTGTGACCAATGTCTTGATAATGGAAAATCTTAACAATGAAAAAAGGTAAAAGTTAAGTATCAATTAATGAAAAAGGGAGAGACACAAGATAATTTAACATAAAAGACTTTGTTTAATACTCCGTTTATAGTCAAGGCCAGATATGGTCCCATCCTCTATACCTTCTTCATGCTAGAAGATTGAATAAAATGAATAGTTATAGTCATGATCTTAAATATTGCAAAATTATTAAATTACATTTGTATTATTGCAAAAATATTATACTATGCCAGTACAGTTTTAGGTTACTTTAAATTTCAATTTTTAGAAAACAGCCCATGAACTATTTAAATAGAGTAAACTTCTGGATTGCCTTTTCCCTGAAGGTAATACTTTGCCTACTCACCTGGCAGATTCAGTAAGGGGGGGTGGGTACAAAAAATCAGGAATACCTTGTTTATTTTCCAAAAGCCCCCTGATTCTGGCTGGTCATTTCCTTCTAAATATGAGTCCTCATCTCTCCTGGTCTGTGCACTGGAGTCTCATTGTCATCTGCACCTCAAGAATCCCAAGGTCTCTCTCTCAATCCCTTCCGCCTTCCGTTCCTCTGCACAACCCCCTCGGCACGCACACACACACACACACACATGCAAGCACACATGCACGCACAACCTCTGTAAATGCATTGTGTCCCCACTAATGCAGGACTGTCAGACCCTGAAAATCCCGCGGCAGGGTAGCAGCTCCTCTTCCTTTGTGCTCTCAGCGCTGCCCGTTCTCGGGTTTCCAAGCAAGACTGCAGGTCGGATTGGCTGCGCTACGAAGAGGAGCAGAGGCTACACCAAATCACGAATCTAGGATTTTCATTTTTTTTGGTCTCCTCCCTTAGAATCCTGGCAACAGGTTTGTGTAGTTGCTCTGAGGAACCCTTGCCTGGGGTTGCCACGGAGATAGGACGCAACTAACATACAGAAATGGCTTAGCAGACCTTAACAAAGCAACTGCCCTGTGTTGCTTCCTTCTGTATTTGCATGTCCCCTTCAGCCAGAACTTTGTTTTTTCTTGACTCCTTCCATGGAAGAGTTGACCTCTTTGAATCAAGAAAAAGAAACCCAAGAACCAGGGGAAGCAGGGCAGCCACGGGAAGAAATGACAGCAGCTTCTTCCCAAGATCCTGAGCCTGGGTTATCTGAGCCCCCAGAATCCCAGACGGGTCCAGAGACTGAATCCCAGCCCAATAGCAGCCCTCCTCGGAGTCCCCAGACTAAAGCCAGCATGCCACTGGGCGACCTCACAAGACCAGGTGCATCATCTCCGGCTTTCCCTCCCCAGGAGGCCTCTTCTACTCCTTCTTCCCTGGCTCTTGCCAGACAGGACCTTGCAGCATCATGGCAGTCAGGCAAGACCACTAGTGTGATTTCTGAAGCTGGGACACCTTACGCTGACCACCTGGAACAATCACCTGATAAAGGAGAATCACCTCTTCATCAGACATGCCAATCAGAGGGAAATGCCTTTCAACAGTCTCAGAAAGCCAAACATCACGTTTTTGGAGCAAAGGATGTGAGCTATACCAACGCAAAACCAAAAGAGCTGGAATTTGATATTTTTCAGGAGGAAGATACAAACAGTAACTATGATCTGGATCAGACTGGGCCTAGGGCCTCTGAAATGGCCCCTGGCATGCTTGAGATTGCCATTCAGAATGCTAAGACTTACCTACTGAAGACCAGTAGCAAGTCCGGCTTAAATCTGTAAGTCTTGGAGGGAAAGAGAGAGAGAGAAAAGTTTGACAAGGAAAAGGGGTGTGAGTATCTCTGTGTGAGAGTGTGTTTCTGTGGATAAATGGAAATATATTTGAAAAGTATTAATAAGAAAGAGTTAGTGATTTAATAAATCTTTGTATCCAGGACTCAAAATAGGCCCTTCGTGGGGATTTTTCTAGCTTCTGTAAAGACTTCGGCACACAGAAATAAAACCTAGGAATTACATAATCTTGGGTTTGAAAGAGCCCATAGAGATAGTGAAATCTAAGCATCTCTCCAAGGTGCTTAGAAAAAGTAACTGTCTACCAGTGGTAGGGAACTCATGGCTCTACTCTCAGCATGCCTCTAACCTAGTGATTGTATGGTTGGTTTTGAGTTTCCCACTCAGCCCAGTACAGGGATGACCAACTATCTCAGTTATCTTGGTACTGTCCTGATTTGAGCACTGGAAGTTCTACATTCTGAGCAACCCCTCAGTCCTGGGCAAACCAGAAGAACTGGTCACTGTAATCTTAAGGTCTGATGAATCTTAAAAAATAGTATTTAATGTGAAAAATCCTTCACAAAAGCTGAAATTGACAATTTAAATACTAATTCTAAATTACAACTTTAAACTACCAGTTGATTAAGCTTCAAGGATGTGATTTGCTACTCAGTGGTAGACTCTACTTAAATTCTGGTATGAACTTTTGCCATAACACCCTAGGTAAAATAACAAGCATGAATGTATAAACTCTGTTAAAATTCCAAAAGAACTCATTATGAATTCTTGAGAGTTCACTAACAATTTAAAATTCAATTCAAAACATAAAAATGTGGAAATTTCCTTTAGTGAATTATTTTCCACTGGACCTTACTTAAATATCTAAATTTTATTTCCAAATGCTAAGTCTCTAAAGATAATAAGTGAGTATCTTCTATAACATTCACTATCATCTTCTAAGTACTTTAGATATACTGCAGTTAAACTGCTTAGCAAGTGATAATAACTTCAACTCCATCTCTTACATGCAGATCTTATTTGATGGCCATGAAAAGTATTTCTTTTGCTGTAATTAAAACAATTTTTGTTAAAATATAGGATCTGATATTGGTTTTTAATCGTTGAATAAAAAGCCCACAGAAAAGAATTACTTCCTCTTTTTCTGCCATTCTATTAAGATAAATTAGTCCTCCCAAACTGAAAAAGCTGTAATTATGAATTAAAATCTAATAAACATATCTCATAATTTGACACAAAGGTATTTTCAGGAGTGCACTTCTTAAAAAACATTGATAAAATATCTTGCCTGAAGAACTTTGAAAAAAGCACATGGTATTAAAACCTGAAAAATAAAATGAAAATTTGTACTTAAAGTCCTTGATTTGATGGCATACATGGCCCCTGTTGGAGCAAACCAAAGACTCCAGTTAAAACCCCAGGTACTGACTAGCAAGCAACAAACAATATCTTTAGTCTGGAGACTTCTCCATGACTTTCAGTACTGAGCTAATATTAAGGAAGCTCGACGAAGCTCTAACAAACTCCTAGTCATAACATTTCTGTTCATTTACAAGAACATCAGTATTTGGTAAAAGAATGATATATTCTTCATATATAATATTTTTAAATTGCCCTTCACATAAAATGTACATATTTTTCTTTGATGTTCCTAAGATCCATTTGATAAATGCAGATATTAAAGAAAAAATAATAGTAGCTATGATTAACAAAGGCAATTATGAGCATCTATTTGGTTTCACTATAACAAGGGAGGAGATGTTAAAACAACAACAAACAAAAACAAAAACCTAATCTGGGTCATGTGAAAACCTAATCAGTTGCTGAATGGGAAATATATAATGTACATGATCACACAGCTGCATATCAGTGATTGCAGAAAGGCCTACTCTAAACTGAAGAATGGTTAAAAAAATGACGAGTGGGTAAGGAAGACGATGAAGTAGGTTTTAAGTTATTTTTGAGATAAATGACATACATAGGACACACAAGCAAAGGATCTCAGGTAGAACTTAGCAAAGCAACCACATGAAAGTCATTTTTAGTAGATTTACCTCACTGGGGCAGAAGTTCCTATTGAACTAATGATCAAGAATGAAACTGTAGATACAGTGCTTATCTGACAGAGAACAATGTTCTACGAGCTTCCACATTGGACAGAAGTGTTTCTATTTCATCTAAGAGCACCTTGACAGGCATTTTTGGCTCTTAAAATACCATAAATTCACACTGTAAGTCTGGTATTTGAAAAAGCACACCCTAACAGTTATGTATAAAATGTAATGAATTAATGAAAGGTTAGAGACAATTTCCTTAATTCGGTTATGAAATAAAAAGCTAGTGTAACAGAGGAAAACTGGATTAAATCCCTGGGTTTAAAATTTAACACTAACATTAACTTGAATATGAATTAGGTACCCCCAAAACCTTGTAATAATTAACAGGTAACAGTTTCTTTTTGTTCTATTTTCTGAGTCTCAGGGTCAGAAATAATGCAGAAAGCTGACTTTGTAGAACCTAAGACATCCTGTTCCAGGATACTGAGGAGGAACCGATAAGAAAAAAAAGCAACTGAATCAGCACAAAAGTGTCTGCTCAGATCCTTGCAAATTCTACTTGTATGTCTGTGGTCAGGAACACAACAGCGTCTCTCCCATAATTTCCCCCTTAAAAGCCCTGCTTGTACTTCAAGGGGATGGTTCTTTAAGGCATGAGCCTGCCACTTCTTCATCTGCTAGCAGATTAATAAACCATTCCTTTCCTTATGTCAAAACTTTGTCATTAAGTTTTGTAATTTGATTTCGGTTAGGGCAGTGTTTTTAAGAGTAGAACAAAAATATTAGGGTGCATTCTCATTTTAATAAAGGTGAATGATATTTGATGATACTTTTCTTTCAGTTATGTTGGGCAGGGGCTGCTATAAGAAATGGTTTCTCATAGGTCTGAAAAACACTGAAGTAAATCACTGGCCTAGGAAATTGAAGAGCCAAAGGATTTAGCAATCAAGTTGGATTTGGTGAAGATAGGGGAAAGAGGATAGAAAAGTGTTAGGGTAAAAATATGAAAAGGTTAATCACTTAAATATATAACTAAGAGATTTCAGTCTCAAATAAAATATGAATGTGTACTTGATATAGAATATGTCTCTTAGTGTAATGTTTTTCTTAAATAACTCAAATGTTCATATCATACTGGAGGCATTTCCTAATGAAAATTTTAGGGCAGGTGCTTCCTGGTAGTGGTAGAAGTTACTTTATCACTTAAAATTTCTGAAGGCTGCAAGTTGCTGTAGTTTCATAAAAAAATCAACTAAGTCTACATGAAATGCTCCTTCAAATGCTTTCTACAATAGCATTACCTGGAATTTTCTCTTTTTGGGTAGATATGATCATCTTTCTAATATGCTGACCAAGATCTTAGATGAGCATCCTGAAAATGCTGTGGACATCATTGAAAATATTAGCCAAGATGTGAAGATGACACATTTTAGTAAAAAATTAGATACACTTCAAAATGAGAACGAGATGCTTCCAACATATGAAATAGCAGAGAAGCAAAAGGCTCTTTTTCTCCAGGGAAACTTGGAAGGAACTGACCAAGAACTGGAAGATGAAATAGTAAGTCACTGTTGTGGCTTGAGTAACTGGATCTTAGGGTTTATTTGAGATGAATAGGGTATGGTTTTAAATTCTATCAACTGTCTTTTATAGCTTCCTAAATAGTATTTGCAACCTCATTCCACTCATCTCCTTATTCAGTTTTATTTTTTCACATTGTGTATTAGTATTTCAGTCTTGTGGAGTCGAGCTCCTTTTTCAATAGTACCCGTTTCCTATATGCCTGCATGCTTATAATTTATACTATTGAGTAATTCATACATCTACTGAGCTTCCATGTTCTGTTACCACTAGACTATTTAAAAATTTGCCTATATATTTTCAAATCTGATGTTTGGAGTAAGATATTTTCAGAGAAGGGGCAGAGAATTCAATAAGGGAAAAGACAGGTACAGTAGGGATCTAGATAATAGATATGGCTTGCCTCTGGAGCTTGGCAACCTTGGTGGGGATAGCCACCTGACACAGTGGGAACAGTGGGACTCAGAAGGATGTTAAGGAACTGACATCAGCTGTATTTTTTTTCTGAAAATATTTTATTCCAAACATTTGATTATATACCCACATACAATGAAGATGGGTCTGGGGGTAATCAGCATGTGGGAATCAAGCAGATAGGCAGACATTCTCATGGAAGAGTATCAAAGGTCAGAAGTCACCAAAGAAAGGTTAGACTCCAGGATAAAAATAGGACATTGGGCCATGTGTAAGCATATCATTACAAGGTAGGCATCTGTGTCCTAAAATTAGGGTGTGGGGTGAGAACACAAATAAGGTGTTTTAATCTTGCAACCTGAGGCCCTTGACTAAATTCCATAAATTCTTCCTAAGAGTAGGAATGGTTTTTAAAGCCAGGAAGAGCTGAATCATTAGATAAAGGTTAAAAGCTCTACCTCAAAGAATAGAAAGATGGAAGAACAGGAAGACAGGTAGGTCTTGAAGCAGTGAAATATGAAGTTTGGGACACATGTTTAGAGTAGTCATGTTTCTGTTCCTGTCTTGATCACAACAGAATTCCTGTTCTTAGTTTTCTGCATTCATTTATTCATTCACTCATTAATTCATAAACATTGTGACTATTTACTCCATACCAGATACTGAGATAGACTCATGTCAATGACTTCAAATTATGCACAGTGTAGTGAAAGAGGCAAAAAAAGACTATAAAGCTCTCTGTTAACTACAATAAGAGATAGCCTCATATGGTGGAAAACACAGGAACTTTGTAGTTAAATTGAAAAAAAAACAATCCTAGCTCAATTACTTACTTACTCTGTGACTATGAGTGCCTAAACCTTTCCCAAGCCTCAGGGATCATCACATGGCAACAACTTACAGGGTAGAGGTACCGTATATAAAGGGTCTGGCACATGCCGAGAACCTAATGAATAGCAGCAATTATTATTATATTGTTTTGGCAAGTTATGAAACAGAACGGAGCAACTAGGCAATTGGGAATTGGGCAAGGCTTTGTAATGGAGATGGTATTCCATTTGGGGCATGAAGGATAAGTAAAAATTCACCAGATGAAGACTATAAGGAATAAAATCCTCAGCAAAAAGGAACAAGAAAAAGTTGGGAGGTGTTATTTAATATTTAGGGAAGTGAAGCATGGGCTGGAGGGAGGGAGTGATGGAAAGGAAATAAACAAGGTGCTTAGTGCCACACTGCTCTTTGCACATGAATAAGAAATTTCTTTCTTGCATACAATGGGAGGTCAACAGAAGCTTTTAATATAGAAGAGCATGGTCTGGCTTTTGATTTAGAAAGATAACTCTGGTAGTAATGTGGAGGAGAAAGAAGAAAGGTTAGAATAGAGGCAAGGAGGAGACCATTAGAATCATGTGATAGGAGGTGAAGTCATGGTAGAGACAAGTATGGTAGGAATGAGTTAAAGGGGAGGCGATAATACCAACACCTTTTCAGTTGGTGGAATCAATAGGACTCTAAGTAAGAAAGTCAAAAGAGTCAGAGCAAGCAAGGATGACTGACTTTTCTAGTTCAGGAAACTGAATGAATGATGTCATTGAGAAAGATAGGGTATACAGAAAAAAGAGAAGACTGACAGAAAAATGAATTCATTAACTTTAAGTATTTTAAACTTTTCACATATACAATTTCTGATAGCTGGTTAGAAATGCAAGTGTGAACATGGGAGAAAAGTCAGAGTAAAAGGGGTGGATTTTAAACAACCACATATCACTTGATGAGTGTGGGACAAGTCTTCCAAAACATAAAGTCCTGAGTGATTAGGTAACTGAAATTTTGAGGACAGCAATATTTATGAATCAGTTAAGAAAAAGGAACCAATTAGAGGCAAAGAAGAAATAGTTACAGAGGGCAGAGTGGAATCAAGAGTCAGTGGCATTTCCAATAGATGCCAAGGAGTCTCACAATCTGCCATCAAAACGATGAGGACTGAAAAAAAATCATTATTCTTATTTTGACATAAAGATTACACTGTAAATAAGAGATTATTTGTAACAGTAGCAATGTGCTCTCAATTCTCCAACTTAAAAGGTCTAAAATTGGTCTACTGCAAGTCATCCCTACCTCAGTTAATTTTCTACTTTCTAGAATCACCTTGAGACTTGCTTTTTCCTTTTTCTGTATTTCTCTTATAGAATTACTTCTGATTTCCTTATTTTAAATCCAAAATGATTTATTATAAGTAGGGATAAACATCTGACTAAATTGTTTTTAAATGTACTATGTACTTATTATCCTTTCATTTATACTGTATCTTATATACATATTACTCTCAAGTCTCATATTGGTATTTACCAAATATATTACAATATATAGATAATATTTAGAAAAAAATGTAATAATATAGATGAACATACATACAGGTTTTTTTCCCCTAAATATACATGTGCAGGTAGGCTATACTGTATTTTATTATTTCAGGATAGTAAAGGTGTCACTTAAGTATTTTTTATAAAAACAGGGTGTTGAATTTTTATTATTCATAGTGATTACTACATTATCTTTGCCTAAGGTACACACATATAACAAGATAACTATTATATTGATGAGTATATGATATAATACTAGAGCTACAGTTATAAGCCATAAAAGAAGAATTGAAATTCAGGAATTATCAGTTTGTCTTGAAAGAAATATCAAAAAAGTGATAAAGTAGAATATTAAGATGTTTAAAAAGGAAAAGGGAAGCAGGCAGTTCTCTTACACAGAAAATATTAACCATATTTCTATTCCCAGGCAGAAAATTCTCTTTCAAATGTAATGGAGTCAGCTTTTTATTTTGAACAAGCTGGAGTTGGTCTGGGTACAGATGAGACTTACCGCATATTTCTTGCCCTCAAACAGCTTACTGACACCCACCCAATCCAAAAATGCCATTTCTGGGGCAAAATCTTGGGTCTGGAAATGAATTATATTGTGGCTGAAGTAGAATTTCGTGAGGGAGATGAAGAGGACATGGAAGAGGAAGATATAACTGAAGAGAGGGACAATGGAGATAGTGAAGCTGATGAAGATGAAGATGAATTACCAAGGGCCTTTTACAAGGCCCCGCAGGCTATACCAAAAGAAGAAAGTAGAACTGGTACCAATAAATATGTCTATTTTGTTTGCAATGAACCAGGAAGACCATGGGTGAAGTTACCATCGGTTACACCTGCACAAATTGTTACTGCAAGAAAAATCAAGAAGTTTTTCACTGGGCGATTGGATACTCCCATCATAAGCTACCCACCTTTCCCAGGAAATGAGAGCAATTACTTACGAGCACAAATTGCCAGAATTTCAGCAGGGACCCAAGTCAGCCCTCTAGGATTCTATCAGTTTAATGAAGAGGAAGGAGAGGAGGAAGAAGAAGTAGAAGGCAGGCGAGATAACTTTGAAGAAAACCCGGATTTCGAAGGCATTCGAGTGATTGATCTAGTGGAATCCCTATCCAACTGGGTTCATCATGTACAACATATTCTCCCTCAGGTATGTGCTCTCCAATTCTCAATCTATCAGCCAGCTAGCAAGTGTTTATTAAATTCTCTCTACGATGTAAATATATAAACAAAGGCCTTCAGATTTTAGAGAAAGAGACTGTTACAAAAACCAAGTGAAAATACAGAGTGTTATATAACTGCCAAGTAGTATAGACCTGGAATCTTTATATTTTTATTTCCAAATGGATATAGAATAAATATTTCTATTGAGTATTTGAAAAATCATATAAGGATTTAGATTTATACATGTAATGAAATTATTTTTTATATATTAAATACAGATGACTAGATTTTGAGAATAGTTATTTTATTCTATTTCTATAATGGGGATTTTTGCCAAGAAAAAAATAAAAGGTTTTAACAAAAAACAAAACAAGCAGTGCTATATAGCAGTTATAGTACACCTATTCTGCCAGGTGCTCTGAATAGCATTTTATATGTATCATCTCATTTTAATTCTCACAACTGTATGAAAGACTAGTATTACACTTGTTTTAAAGATGAGGGAATTGTGGCAGAAAGTTTAGACAATGTGACAAAGGGAATATAGCTAATAAGCAACAGGGTCAGATGTTAACAGGCTGAATGGATCCAGAGTCCATCTTCTATTATGCTGCCTCATTTGCAGGTAGAAAATCTTCATTAGACTTTGATCCACATAAGAGAGTCATATACCTCTAGATAAGTTAATTAAATGAGAAATTACAACCCCAAACTTCCGTATCTATTATCACATTTAAATTTTTGTCAATAATAGTACTCTACCACTGTCATATATTTATTACAAATTAGTAAAATGCAGTATTACCTTTTTCACTAAGGTGCTGCCAATTTTAAAACATAAACTTTCTGTAACTTAAAGAAGTTGGCAAATTTCTAAAATAAATAGTACTATCTTTTGCTTGAAATAACTTAGATCAAAATAGTACTTGGTATGGTGAACAAATATTTATTGATTAAATTCCCACACAGTAGATCTTCATGCAGCTAAATGCTTCAATCCAAAAGAATATTCTAATATTTTAAGGTCCTCACTAGACTACTAAATCTTGCAATATCCAATCCTAGGGTCGCTGTAATTGGTTCAATCCCATACAAAAAAGTGAGGAGGAGGAGGAGGAAGATGAAGAAAAAGAAGAAAAAGAAGAACCTGACTACACAGAACAGGAAGTGGGGCCTCCTCTTTTGACACCAATTTCTGAAGATTTAGGTAATTCTACATACTATATACTATGTATATTATACATATGTACATATACTATGTATATAAATAACATATATCTAAATATACTATATACTACAGTATATTTTTATATATGCTATATGGTATATATATGGGAGCTGGAAACCTCTAAAAAATGGATAGGAATTAAGGTTTCATCCCCTTTCCCCTTTATGTGTTTTGGGATAGCAGGAGGTAAAGAATATAGCTGGCCACAACACCATCTTTTTTTGACGGGTTGGAGTGAGGCAGGGGTGCAACATAAGTCGACTGTAGCTCTTACTGGAAATGCTGACAGTTATCTTGTGCTCATTCTTGTCTTGAGTTCTGTAGACCATAAACACATCTCTATTACATAAATGGATACACACACACAAATATTAAAATTTCATTGTTCCACAATGTTCACAAAGTACCCACCTGACTTTGTTAGACTGTGTCTTTGTCAAATCTATGTTAACATTGATAAAAATAGCTTCTCTGTTACACAGTGGACTATTTGGGGTTTTTTTATTTCTCTTTGGTTTATTACAGAGTTCCAAAATACACCACCGTGGACAACACGGCTCTCCTCAAATCTCACTCCTCAATATGCTATTGCAGTCCTTAGATCCAACCTTTGGCCTGGAGCATACGCCTTTTCCAATGGCAAGTAAGTATCTGACAACTTACAAAGCCATTATTGTGATTATTTAAGTTCTGGAAATAGTAAGGTATCATTGGAATGTTAAGTTACATTACAGGGGTTTTTTTTCTTTTTTTTATTCTCCAAGGTGTAATACAAACCTGCATTCCTAAATCAGAGAAACCTGTAATCTGTTAGCTCTTCAAGGCAGCCAATCACAGTGACTTCGGGGGAAGAGTCCCCAGGCCAGGATGGGGTAGGGCAAAGGGTGTGGGGCACTCCACCCAAAGTGGAGGGTGACACCCTGGAGGTCTAGGCTATGAGCTAGATGCCAGGCTCGGCACTTCTATCTTCCCTGTGAGCTTTAACCGTAGCTCTGGGAAGGGAGATGCTCCATGTCAGAAATTAGGAAATTGGGTCTGGATGAAGTGAGAGCAGGAGACTGGCAGCAGATGATGAAGCCCTGACTCTATAGTGGGTAGGTAAAGTGCCACTTCTCAGGAGGAACTTTATCCTGTTGCCATGACACCATTTCCCAGAGTGAACCACTGCAATCTGTTGAGCTACTTTCTCACTGGCTTGTGTTTCTGGGGCTAAGCCTGGTGCCAGCAATGCTCAACAGGGAGGAGGGAGTTTACCACTGTTTTAACTTACTTGGCATGTCCAGTGTGTATACTGTTAAGACTTTTTCAAATAACATCTGTATTTCACCATAAAGCCTGAAATTTAGTATAATTCAAACTCTGCCCTTTTATTAGATTATCCAATTAATAAAAGTAAAATGTTTTTTTATGCTTGAGTATTTGATTTATTCATTTTCCAAATAGATTAATAGAGGTAATTCTAGGCCATATTTGGTTTAAACCTCACATGATTCTTATTGGACATACTGATAAAAAATGATTAAAAATATGTATTATTCAGGCTATCACTGTCAAAAGAATTAGGACCAAGAAGATACTGTCCTCTTATCCCTCACCCAGAACATACACTTCAGTTTGTCTTATCCTTCCATTTCTTACCTACTAACCCAATGTCAGAAACTCAGCTGAGGTGGAGAGAGCTGAGCTGCCAAATGTCAGAGTTGCTATTAAAGAAACAAGCCAATAATGAGAGCACTAAGCCTTTGATCACTCACTGTGAGGGTATAAGGAGAAAGCTGACTCCCCTGTCCCACTTTACCCCATGGAATGGCACACTAATGGAGGTTAGGTGGACAGTGCAGCTTTTGGGGTTTACCTCATGAGGAAGTCCCTGTGCATCAGACCTCTGTAGTTTTATGGACCTGGGGGCCACAGGGAATGAGAGGAGGGCTAGAAGTGGAGAAGTACGAAGTACTGAGTCAGAGTGGGGAGAACTATCACTAAGGTCCCTCTCTCCCCCATTAATCCCATAAGGAGGTCTCGGCAGAGGCACCTGAAGATCTCTGCTGAAGATAAGATTTAGGTAGATTAGGAATGAAATATATGAAGAGCATAACATGCCAGAGGAGCCAGAGTCCTTGTCCTCACCTCCCCTTAGAAACTGTACTTCACTGGCTCTAGGCCTAGTCTGGCATGGACAGGGCAGTTCTCCCGTGACGCCTTTGTGACAGCCTATGATCTGGCCTGAAATAACCCCAAATCCGAATCCTTTCCCAACCAAACATTTGCTGGGCTGGCAAATTTTTAATTCTAACTCTAAAGATCAACTTTTCTTGTTGAAAAATTATGTAATAGTCACCTACATCATTTTAACTTTATAGCAAGTTTGAAAATTTCTACATAGGCTGGGGTCATAAATATAGCCCAGAGAGCTATACACCCCCAGTTCTACCACCAGTTTACCAAGAATACCCCAGTGGAGCAGATGTTACAGAAATGGATGATCCTACTGTGGAAGAAGAACAGGCTTTCAAAGCTGCACAAGCAGCAGCTCTACTTCCAGCTGAGGAAAATGAAGTAATCGAGGAAGAGGAAGATGAGGATGATTATGACTGAGAATAAAATTAAGACTGATGTGAGACTAATACATAACTAAGGTGGGACCAATTTTACATGTTATATGTAATTTACATAATTATATGATCATGTGCAAACTATTCCTTGAAAATATCAAATTTGGAATTTCATATGTGTAGCTGATATGTGCTTATACAAAGATGCTTAATGGACTTTCCAGAGGCCAAATGACATGTTCTTACACCACAGTTCTGATGGCTACAATTCATGGAATATTTTGGTATTGTCAATTGGTACCACGACCAAAAATATTGCTAACCACCAAATTAAAGCATGTGCTCTTAACCAGTGTGTGATACTGTGTGCAAATACTATGCATATTTGTATGTTATTTTCACTTTTTGTTCTAGTTGCTGGGGGAGAGTTTATGACTCTACCACCTGCTCAGACTGTGGGAACACTTAAATTTTTAACTTACTACATCTTAAATAACTTTCCCAAAAACTTGTCATTCATCCTATAGAAATTGGTTTGACCTGATTGGATGAAAATTTGTAGACTGCTAGCTGGGATATCCAAAGACTTCAGACTGTTATTTTCTACCAGTGCTTCTCTAAAATTAGTTATTATTTTCTTTCAATAAATACGTATTTTTAAGTCCTCTATGTGCCAGGCACCCTGAGACTACCATTATAAACTAGACATTGTTTCTGAAATCTTAGAATTTACATTCAAAGTGGGGAATATTAAAAGGGTAATAGAAAACTAAAATAGATTGCAACTTAGCAGGTACTGTGATACAAACATTCCAAGGTACCATAGAACAGTGCTTCTCACTATGGAAAAGGACCAATTAAAAACAAATTCTAGTCTACCGCTATTATTTTTATAATATAAAGTAAAAATGTCACAGCAATTATAATTTCTGTATCTCATCACAGATAGGCAGTTTGCAGATCACTAATTTACACTTTGAGAAGCACTGCTATCAAACTCTTAGAAGGTGCATTTAACCCAGACTTGAGCAGTGCCAGAAGCACTTTTAGAAGGTGGAAAACTAAGTGGAGAAGGGTGCTAAGCACCACCTTCCATTCTGGCAAAGGACTTCAGGCTCAAAGTTGTGAAACTTTTGAGTGGTGAGAAATGAACCTGGTAGGGCTCAAATTGTGTGGAATGTCTAGAATTTATCCATGAGCAATGAAGAGGGCTAAACTAGGAAATCACAACTACTTTAGAATATTTTGGCTTCAGTGTGGAAGATGAACTGACAGAGGATCTAGGTTAAGGAGACTAGTTTGTAGGTTATCACATTACCTAGGTAAGAGAGAATGATGACATGAAAAGAGGAAAATTGCATGGCAGATATAAGTAAAACCTGGTTATGGTATGAATTACAGAATAACAGCAAGGATGGGATTTTATAATTGGCATTATTATTCATTCTCAGAGTACAACTTTAAGTATTTGATGTAGTAGCTAATGTTTATAAAACTTCAAATATGTTCTTTACATTTTTTCATGGACTAGATACTTGTTGCTTTTTGTTGTTGTCATTTAATATCCATTTTCTCACCTACTCTGATTTCCTTTTGCGAAACTGCCTCCATCCAATGGCATACAGTCTCATGATAATCAGATACACCCTTTATAGAATCTGAATTTTGAGCAGGGACATTCTACCTCGGCTCCTAACCTGACTGTCATGCTATAAATTAGACCATATTCCAGCCTCTTGAGTTGCCTTGGTTCCAGCATAGTTCTCTAGTTACCTGTAGATTCTGTGAATTTCTGATATTTCAGTGAGTTCCCTTCTGCTCAAATTGGCCAAAGGATTCTTGCTTGCAACCTTACATGACACATCTAACATGAATCTGACAGTTTCTTCCCTAAAGGACACATTAAACACAAGACTCTGAACTACGTAAATTATGTAAGAGAAAGTAAATGTTTAACAAAAGCAAATCCATCGCTAGTTATGCCTGTTAAATATTAAGGTTAGTCTATGAAGTAAGAAAGTAATTTCATTATACAGCTGACTCATGAACAATACTAGTGTACCAACCCCCTGCACAATCAAAACTCCACATATAACTTTTGACTACCCAAAAACATAATTACTAGTAGCCTTCTGTTGACTGGAAGTCACACAGATAACATAAACAACACGTATTTTGTGTATTAAATACTGCAGTCATATAATAAATAAAGCTAGAGAAAAGAAAATGTTTTTTCAAATTGTCACAAATCTCCAAAAAATTTTCCAATATTTGTTGGAAAAAAAACTTTTTTTGTATAAATGGACTTGTGCAGTTTAAACCCATGTCATTAAAGGGTCAACTCTATGTTTTACAACAGAAAAAAACAGAATACTATAATGGTCAGAGCCTGGAAGTAAAACAGCCTAGGTTCATACACTGGATTATGATAATTTTCTTGGGCAAATTACTAATCTCCCAGAGCTTCAGCTTCCTGACAGAGCTAATAATAGTACTGTCTCATAGAACTATTCTGAAGATTAATTAATACATGAAAAATACTAATACCTAACAGAAGAACCCAGTAATACTACATATGACTATAATACAAAACCAGTTTCTGAAACATGAGTAAGACAGGAATTAACAAAACTCATTATGCAAATAAGGAATTTTATTGAAATAATTACTAAAAAATGAAGTACTAAAGATACAATTTAGAGATTTTAGGAATTAAATAATAAATTCAGTATTTAGAGAATTCACAAATTCATAAATTGTATTATGGAGTTTAATACCTGAATTTGGAAAATAAAGTAAGATTCCACAATAACTGAAATGCTTAATTCTTCAAGGAATCTTCTCGGCTGTAAAGACTTGAGATGCTTGTCTCCTGGCCTTGAAAAAGAATTTTTTAGAATTGTTAATTTTAAGCAACAAGTCAAATAATAAGAATATATATATTATATTCTAATATAAAAAAATAAAACCTGGCAATTTTTCCAAGACAATAAAAATTCCTTAAGGAAACATCAAACTTAGATAATTAAGACTAAACATTTTCAAAGCCAGGCCATAAAAAAATTAAAGTTTTCTTTACCAGATAAAGACAAAAAAGAAAGAAGTAAAAAGAAAACAGCACATTGTTATGGAATGAGTTAAAAGTAAAAAAGGCTGGCTTAAAGTCAGAGAGAACAAGGAAAAACAGAGGAGAGAGAGAAAGAGACAGGGCTATGAACAGATAACCTGTAAGAAAATTATCTGCTCTATTACCACCTTATAAATGTCACTTTAAAAAACATTTAAACATCTGTGCTATTTTCTCAATTTGAGTTACAAACCAAGGCATATTATATCAAGCTAAGATAAAACAAAGTTAAATCAAGAGTACAAAAATTACACAGTGTAAAACAAAGAATGCAGTAATTTAACCACAGCATACCAAAATGTGAAAAGGATTGAAGGGAACATGGCTATTAACTAGATATGTATTTATTATTTAACTGAATTTCATTAGAAAGTGTTTTCTAAAATAAATCATTTCACTTAAGTGCTCCTACATCTAGAATAGTTTGGAAGTAGTAGAAATTCAAAACATACTTAGAGCAGAAATGTCTTATGATAATTATAAGACAGTTGCTAGGATGAAAAAAATTTCTTTGAAAACTAATCTCCTTTAAAAACAGCTGTATGATTAAAATGCAGTTAATTTAAGTGTAAATATGAAGAACAAAACATAAAATTCAGTTATAAATATATACATTTTGGAATACTTTCAAATACCAAATTTATTCTGAAATTCCTACAATTAAAACTGTTTTCACTAAGAAGGGAAAAGACATTTAAAAAATGAATTATAATAAGAAACATGAAATAAAGCTGAACTTATTATTTTGCTCTTATTTAAACCTGCAGATTTCTGTCTGATGATACACAGATCAAGCAGTACATCAGTATTTGCTGAATTGCTATAATATACAATGCACCATAATTACTGTAAGAAGATATATTTTTTAAAAGTCTTAAAAGTAACATGCAAAACCAATGTTATGTTAATATTGGTAAGATTTTTCATTTTTCAAAATATAACATCCTATCTTTTCAATAATAAATGTGAAACTGTTCATGCAAAAGCTTAGCAAACATGAAACTATGAAATTTTGTATCCTCACAGAAGCAACATAGGTCAGAGCTTTTAATGCAAATTGCCTGTTGGAATCTGGACTGTTACTTAGTAGTTGCGTGACTTGAGGAATAATACAACTTCTTTGAGCTTAGACATACTAATCTCTAAAATGGACTTATAATAGTGCCTACCTTTACAGAATGGATGTGTAGGTTAAATTAGTTAATATATACAAAATGCTTAGGATAGTACCTAAGACAAAGTAAGCATTATACAAGGTTTACTTTTATTAATATTACAATTGTAGTCATATATATTATACTCAGTATTATTCCTTCTTTATATGGCACTGTTTTACAGTCAGCCAAGTTCCAAGACACAGCTATTCTCCATGACTCCAAACAGAAAAAGGTCTTAGTTTCTAAAACCAGAAACAGCTAATTCATAGAGATTCCATGATAATATTTAACATCCTCCATATGCTCTCAAAAGTTATCTGTATATTGATAAACAAGCATCTTTGTATTTTATAATATTAAAATTAACCTCTAACTTTATCCAGCCAAATTGATGTTAAGGTGAAACAAACTAATGCCATTTTGGTATTTAAGTCATTGCAAAGAAACCTTTAATGTACTGCAATTAAATTGAAAAATCTCTCTTAAGCAGTTCTTGCCTTTATATACCAAGTTGTGAAGCTATAAAGATGACTCTACTTCTCTCATTGCAAACAATTTTTGTCCTTTCCCCCATGATCCTGTGATTCTCCATAAATGCTCTTCTTTGGTCCTTTCTCTAACTTTAGAAGGAAACAAATCAATGAGAAGTACTCTACTAGGGAATTTTTTTTCTTTCAGATTCTGGGCACTATGCCACCATACAGCTTCAGTTTATAACATGTGAAGGTTTTCAATTCCTAGAATTTTTTCTATAATATACCACTCATCACTCAACTGCAAGAGATGAAAAGCCAACTGTAACTGAAGTTATATTCTAAAACTGTACATAACTAGGACCCAGGTACATAAATGAGGACCTCAAGAATCATATTCAATAATAAGACAAATATGAGTTAAGTATCCTGGATTAAGTTACAGGTTTTCTTACCATATATGTTACCATTTTTCACCACTCACCTGACATTAAAAATTAAATTATATATTATAAGATTAAGTATTTTTATGAAGCTCTGAATAAAGTATTTGAAAGTCATTAGACACCATTTGAAATTTAAAGATGTCCAGTCCAGAAATTTAAATGCCATAAAAACAAAATATCTTTGTGATATAGAATGGCTGTCGAGAAATGCAAAAGGATATCACTGAATTTTTAACTAAAAAATTTTAACTCTGAAATTCACTTTGGTCAAGCTTCATATAATACATACTTACAACTTTCTCCTCTGAAGAAAGAACACCCTCTACTGCCACTATCTGGTATTGCTTATGTTTTAAATTTCCCACGAACTTTCGAAGTTGCTTGATACTGCTAGCCTCCATGTCTTGCTTTAATAGTTTCTGCATTTCTCGAGAAGGACATCCAGGATCAAATATTAGTAAACATAATGTTCGGTTTTTTCTCTCTTCAATTCCAACAACTGTTCGACTATGACCTAACAAAAATAAAATAACAGCTATAATGTGTGTGTGTGTGTGTGTGTGTGTGTGTGTGTCATATCTATAGCTATACAAATGTTATTACATATATATACCCACAATAAACCAATAAACTTTCTGTATATAGTGTTTGTGCACTGTGTTTAGAATATAAATAGTCATTCCCTCTGACATGTAAGTATCTGAATTCTCACTCACAAAACGCAATAGTTTTAGTTCTACTTCTTAACCCTTAGTTTTCTTTTTCAATTTTAGTTTCTAAAAGCTTCACATAAAAATTCTACATCTACTATGCCATATATTTTACTAATTTTTCTTTCCCTAATGCCTTGATCCTTCTTATTTAAATTATTTCAAATGAAAGGATTTGAAATTTATGTACCACAAAATAAAAATTCTTATGGTTCCAAAAGATAAACAAAAGTAAATTTTTATATAATAGAATTTCAGTGGAAGGCTTAACATTTATAGCTGGTATTCCTAAACAATGAAATTCATAACATTTACTTCTCCTTATTCCTGTCAATCCAAATCATCCATTCAATATAAGCATTCATTTGCCAAGCACTCTTCCAAGCAGTTAGTGATACAAACAAAACAAGCAAACAAAACAAACATTCCTGCCTTGATGGAGCTTATATTATAATAGGAAGAAGTACTCGATAAACAAGATAAGTAAATGAAGTATATATTATGTTAGATAAAGAAAAATAAAGCAGGGACAAGAGACTGACAATGCCAGGGGTGGGGGATTAGGATAACAAGATGAAATTTTAAATAAGGTGGTCAGGGAAGACCTCACTGAAGTGACATATAGGTAAAGACCTGAAAAAAGTAGGGATGAACAATAAACAAAGTAAGAACCAGGCAGACATGAAGATGCCAGGGCTATCATACTTCATTACCCAGGAATATATTTTAATGACAATGTAGCTCTGAAAATCAGACAGACTAATGTCACAATTCTCCCCTCCTCCCCATTATCAGAATCTTAACCTATTCTAAAGCAAAAGTCAATTAGTTGCCTTATAAAGGTATTGTCTTATAAATTAATTACACTTACTATCTTTGACTTATACCAACCTTGGTGTTGAAGATAGATAGGAGGTTTAGAGGTACACACTACTTTTGGACTCCCTTCCATCTCTGAAGAGTAATAGTTCAATATCCATTCAAATAAGCGGGGGTGTGTACCCAAAGGACCAGTTGACTTATGAAAATCAACAATATGGCACCTATAAAAAGTTGACAAAATGGATTTAGAGATATTTTTAAAACTATTTTCACCAATGGAGTTATCAGATACAAAAATTTCTAAGTTTAGAATTTTATATCATTACTTTCCTAAAAAGAATATTAATACAAATTTTGTTATTTATCTCAAAAACTGTCATTTTATGAGGAAATAACTGTTTAAATAGGTCAGGGGGAATTATTGGTGAGATTGTGGGTATCTTGATATGGGTAGGTTATGATTACATGACTATATACACATGTCAAAATTCATTGAACTATATACTACAATTTGTGTATCTTACTGTATGTACCTCAATGAAAATCATTTTTTAAGATAAAAATACCTTCATAATAAGGTTGACTACTGATCTAAAGGTCATGAACATTTTCTGGCATATTAAAATCTCCATGAATAGTAAATCAGAAGTATACTTTATTTTTAAAAGTCATCTACATTTTAAAAGCTGAGATACAGATTTAGAAAAGTCTGTAACACAGTGATCAATTAGAAGCCAACTTCTAACTTTAATTTCTTAACAGCATTTGCATGTATCAAAAACATCCTGAATGTTCTTCCTGTCAGCTCTCACAAATTCCAACAACAGACAAGAAAAGAATACCTGTAAAGATCATAGAAAAACCCATATATACCCCCATGTTACATCTCTCTCCTATTTGACCATATGATTATAGCTATGGAGCAGATCTACAAGACAAATAATCCAGACTGGAGTAAAGAGGACAAGCGGCTTCAAGGAAGTGTCCAAGAATGAGTGCCTCAGATTATGTTATAGACGTAGTGTTTAGGAAAACTTGAGACCATTATGCAAATAGTTACAGGTAAAAGGAAAGGGATTTCATAACTCAAGGAAAATGTTAAAAAGCTTTCCAGAAAGGAAATAAAATCAGTGATGAATGGTATTTTCATAGTCATGATGTAAACTCTGACTTTAACTTAAAAACTGAGAGCTAACCATATTAAAAGGATTAAAAGTGAGAAAGTTAAGAGATAGAAGGAAATATATCCCCTTATATATTGCAACAATGTCTAAAACAATAAACCAAGAAAAAGACATGAAAACATATTATTCAGAAACAATGGAAGTGACAGCTCCCTCTGAGAAACAGAACCTGAGACCAGAGAGGAGCATGAGATAAGGAATGAGCTGCTAATTTTCATTACAAGCCTTTCAGTGCTATTTAAATTTTATTTTTTAACTAACTCTTTCATAAAAACACCACCAACAACAACAAAAGCCTCCCAGATGTGACAATAACAATAACTTGGATTTTCAGGTACATACTTTACCCTTAGGGAGGTCAGAAGTGTGTATACTTCACATGCTCCAATCCAGGCCTTTGTTCCCTGTAACCTGTTATTAAGTTGAGAGGCACCCTGAGGATCAAAGCCTTCCTTCCATGCATCTTCAATCATAGATTGAATTTTTGGAATGCAAGGTACTGACATACCTAAAATTATACAAGCAAATACGTTACATGAGAGTAACTAAATATCACTGAACAGTGTATCATATTTTCTACAGGAATATACAACAATTTTTTTAGAGTTATTCCTGGCATCTATTGTATCCTCTTTCTCTCTCCAACAGGAATACAGGTTTTTAATGTAAATATCCACTAAAATACTTCCACATTAAAGCTATTAATTGTACCTACTATATATTAATTAACTGCATATCATATGTATTTATCAGATGACAAGTTCAAAGTATTGTACTTCACATACCTTTCAAGCAATCAACATAAGCATCATTTTGTAGTAACGACGAAAGCAGCATTTGGAAATTTCTGTAACCACAACCCCAACCTTTGTCACCATAAGATGAATGAAAGTGATCCACCACTGTAGAAAGCCACACATGCCTCACATCTGTGGTAGCATTCTGGTAATACCTATGAAGTGCTTCAATAATTCCTAAAGTTGAAAAGAGGGTTATGGGATTTAGAAGGATTAGTTATTATCTTTCTATAGCTGTCTCAAAACATTTTTAATACCTATCTCTCTCTCAAGTGCCATATCCAATTTCTACCAATTTCATCTTCTTTTTCTTTTTACTGATATACCCTCAGCTCTTGTGCTCCTTGTTATTACTATGCAAGTTTCCTACCACTAGCATACTGTCATTACACTGAATTAACACTGTTTCTATATTTCATCTGCAGGGCCATAAAAGTACACGGTTGAATGACTGTTCTTCTTGACTCTCTGCTTTATTATACACACTGCTGGACATCACCATCTCTGAAGCTCAATCCTAACAAATTTGCTCCTAATTTTAAAACTTCAGTAGTTTCCTATCACTTATAAAATAGTTTTAATGCAAGACATATGAAGCCCAAAGAAGCTAGCCTCTAACTTACCTTTATTTCAAACCACTCTTCTTACTATAATTTGCCTGTGGCCTAACTGAACATATTAAACATGATTTTCCCCAGGGAGTTTTCATTCCATTACCATATTTGCTAAGCATTTTTATATATCTAGTACTATGCTAATCACTGAGGATACAAAAGACCAGTATGACAATATTCCTTGAAATCTCACAGGCCTGGACTATATAGTAAGTGCTATAACATAGATAAACAAGGTGTTAGCACAGGGTACATCCGACTCTGTCCTTTTCCTCCTTGTAGTATACTCCTCTTGTTTTGAAATCCTACAGATACTCCAAGGATCAAATGCTCCTGTCTTTATAATCCTTTTCCTGATTCTAAAGCCATAAACAAAAGGCCTTTCTTTAAACACTCACTACATTTACTTGTTGTGCCTCCTAGATCCTAGCCATACCCTGTCAAGGAAGATGACTACAGTTGGGGGCACTTTACTTATTTTACAGACTCTGCAAAGCTTATGGGCAGGAATGTCTTATCTGGATAGCCTATAATTTCTCATATAGCAAATGGCACCAAAAAGACAATCACTAAATGCTTTTCACTTGAATGAAGCGTATCTATAGGAAAATGGGGTTTTGTCTTTAAGAAGTTAGTAAGAGTCAATAAATCAAAATGATTAAATGAATCAAGAGCTGCAGCTGTGCCTAGCACCACAAAGGATAGAAATACAGATCATTACAACTATTTCGAAGGAACTTAGAAAGATAAGACTTACAATCAAGAAAAAGAAAAATTAAAATGCTATATAACTGAGTACTAAATGTTGTAACATGGGATGGATAATCTAGAAATTCAGATAAAATAAATGTGGAATTTAGTATCATAAACTTTGATGAAGAAATCAAGACTTGAGAGAGACCTTTAAAAATGAGATGGGAAACACCCAAGAAAAACAGAGAAGAAAGTAATGTACATTCTAATATACTTTGGCATAGTTAGTAATGAGATTATAGTGCCTCACTGTCTAGGTGACAGTGTCCTAGCACCCACATCATGTAACTGCTTTAAGGAAAAATTTCCTCAAAAGAAAGCTTTTTATTCCTTAGTACCTAAATCTCTTTATATTTTCCAAGATGCATCTATCTTGTTAAATTATATTCTATTGTTAACATTATAACAAAAAGAGTCTTTAAGTCACACACTGCTTCAATTAACATTTGCAGAATTAATAAAAAATAAAAGTCTTTGCCACGAATCATTCACTTATAAATTTCAAAGCAGTATTTATTAAAAGGACATCGTGTATTATAGGGCAGTGTTCTTTAATCTTTTAGAGATAAATTTATTTTAAATTATATATACATACTGTATTCTGTAGTAACTCTGAAACATATGCACAAATAGAAATTGAAGGATGACATAAATTAACAACAAAAAGAGTTCTAATTATTTTCTTCCTGTATACCTTAATGAGTCACATTACACATCTGTTGGGATATACTATGCCACATAGAAAACTTTTTACATACAGACTCTTGAAAAAGTATAAACACAGATTTCATAAAGAAACCTATGGATATATGAAAATATATGACATATGGATACACATATATAGGGAAAGTACAGAGTCACTAAATGGTACCAAGATAAATAAGCAATAAGAACTTATAAGTATTGTTATTGTTACAAATAAGGGGAAAAATTAGATTCATAGTTTTCTCTTTCTCCCCCCCACCTCTCTCACACTCATACACACACACACACACATTTCAAGTGGACTAAAAGTCAAAATATAAGAAGCAAAAGCAAAATATAAATATTAAAAGAAAATATAAAGGAATATATATGTTCATGACCTCAAAAATAGGGGAGCTTCTTAAAGACACTTAGGATACAAATAAAGGAAAAGACTGAGAAATTTGATTATTATATTCAAATTTAAAACTGTCTAATCAAAGACACAGAAAATTTAAAGGCAAATTATAGACCTGAAGAAGATATTTGCATCTTGAATAATCAACAAAGAATTAGAGTTCTGAATACCTAAAGAACTCCCACAAACCAAGAAAAGAGAGAGAACTCAGTAGAATATGGACAAGGGAAAGCAACAGATTGTTTACTGAAGAAACTAACTCAGGAGTAACCAGGGAAATGCAAATTAAGGCCTGCATCATCTTATGCCCTATTTAATGGGAAAGATTAGAAAGTGGCACCGTACAAAGTGTGATTGAGAATATTGATGCAGTAGATTATGACCATTTTGGAAAACAATTCCGCAATAACCTTAACAAAGTTAAAGATGTATATGCCCTTTAACCTAGCATTTCCAGTTCTGGATGCAATACTAGAGAAACTCTTAAAGGAGACCTGTTTATAATCTGTAGGAGTAAAAAATAGAAACAACTAAATGTCTGTTAACATGCAAATAGGTAAATAAGTTGTTTATAATTCATATAAGGAAATACTGTAAGAATCAAAATATTCAAGCAAATCAAACTAGAGCATATGTATTGTATACCAATTTGAATACACAGGTGAACTTTCAACAACATGGGTTTGAACTGTGCAGATCCACTTATATGCAAACTTTTCAATTAATACTGTACAGTACTGTTAATGTACTTTCTCTTCCTTATGAACTTTCTCAGCAACATTTTCTTTAACAAAGTATACTGTAAGAATACAGTATATACTACATGTAACATACAAATTATGTGTTAATCGATTGTTTATGTTATTGGCAAGGCCTCTGGTCAGCAGTAGGCTATTAGTAGTTCAGTTTTTGGAGAGCCAAAAGTCATATGTGAATTTTCACCTGTGTTGGGGGATCAGCACCCCTAATGTCCACATTGTTCAAGGGTCAACTGTAGTTTAAATACATAAAATACTATGTACTGTTTATGGAAACCTACATATATGACAAAAGTAGTAAAACATATATAAGGTTGATAAATACCAAATTCAGGATAATGATTCCTACTGTGGAGGAGGAGCAATTAGAATCAGAAAGGTATATAAAAGGGGTTTAAAATACATATGAAAGGTTCTAAAGCTTTAAGATTCAAAAAAGTTGGGTTGTAGGAACAAAGCTATTTCCGTATAAATTTTTTTTACTATGCTGATGGATTAAAACATAATTTCAATAATATTAGGGAAAAAGCACAGTCTTTGCAGCATGGCAGACCTGACTGTGAATAACTGGCTATGCAGCTTTACCTTGGGAAAGTAATTTAACCTAAGTCACAACTGCCTCATCCAGAAAAATGGAACTACCTAAGAGAATGTTTGTTTAACAATAGTTAAATGATTCAATACATATAAAGGCCTTAGCGTCTAAAACTGTACTGAACAATATGGTAGCAACCATCTTCATGTAGCTATTGGGTACCTGAAATACAGCTGGTCCAAACTGAGATGCTCTGTGAAGTATAAAATACACATTAGATTTTGAAGAATGTACCAAGATTGCAAAGTAAGTCATTAATAGTTTTTAATATTGATTATACCTTGAAATATTATTATGAACATACTGGACTTAATATATTAAGGTTAATTTCACCTGAATTAATCAAAATTAATTTCCTTCTTTTTCTAACGTGACTGCTAGGAATTTAAATTATGCATTTGGCTCACTTACATTGTTATTAGACAGCATTCATCTAGAACGCAGTAAGAACTCAATTAAAACTTTCCTAAAGGTTCATTTTCAAGTACCAAGTAAATTAAAATAACATAAAAGTGAATTATTTACTGTAAAAATAGAAGTTCAGAAGTTTCAAAACAACCCATTTAAAAAAATTATTTGAAAACAGTGTCACCTAAAACTATGTAAACTATGAATTATGAAAAGTCATCAAAATCCAAGTAGTTCTAATTATAGCTTCAGTGATGTATGAAATATCAAAACCATGATTTTGATATTTAAATACTCACCAGAAGTTTTTGTCTTTCCATCATCAATACCAATAGCTAGTGATTCCATCATATCAGCCTTTCTTCTGTGAAATTCAGATGGATGCATTCTTCCTCTATTTACTTCTATCTCCATATTTTGTAGCTGCTGTTGTTTATACCCTCCAGAATTATCTAAACCATATTGTCTCTATTGAACATAAACATGAATGACTTAATTTTATATTCCTTAACTCAGTGAGGATGTAAACTTAACACAACTTTACTTGGAAACTTACTTTGAAATATTCTGGCTTATAGACTTCAATACAAATCAACTTTTAAGATTTTTTAAGAAAAATCACACAAAAATACCTTTGTTAATAATACCCTTTTTCTCTATAAAAACCACCGTGGCAAGAGACCTGCTTTCCTTGGAGTAGGGAATGTAGAGATTCCTACCTTCCCACTAAAAATACTGTGAATGGCAGATGAGTTCTGGACATCCTACTGATTTTTTCAAGAAAACTTGTTGGTACTTGTTATTTAGTTTCCAAGCTAGCCTACAAAGGCCTACTTAGTAAATGAACTATGTTTTTGCACACTGGACAGAATATCTCAACTCATATGTATAAGACAGCCTCTAGGGAAAAGGTTTCTGAGATCTAAACAATGAAATTGCAAAGTTACATAACAAAATCTCTTAAATGCTGGAAACTTTTTGTATGGATAATGTTCAAGATTACATAAAGCAAAGAAGACTTAGGAAAAAACTAACTTCTTCTCTTCTGAATCCTGGTGGGAAATATTTTGCAAATACGTAAATCACCAATGAGAAAAATAGCCTAAATTAGATCATCCAAAGGGAGAATTAAATATTCTCATACATGGCTACCTAGAAAAAAAGTCTGAGAAAAAAGTCAGAAGCCAAATAAGTCAGAAAATCATGATATATACAATGCATATTAATATATTAAAGGCTTTGATGAGTCCTGAAGTATACAAACCTGTTAAATGGAACACTTTCAAACCTATTTGATCATAAACCCTTTCTATCATATATTATTACATTAGCACATAGAAGAAGGACATTTAAAAACTCTGAGCATTATTAGTATGGATGACAATATGGGCCACAATAAATTCGTATTGAAAAAGTAGAAAAACTTATTAAAAATTTAAATGCAGTAAAATATAACAGATGCTCCCAGTTTAGTTCAACAAATACCCACTTAAGATAGGTAAGTCTCAAATATCATCAAACAGTATTTTCCATTACAAATGGTTCTTTCTGAATTCCAGAATTGCAATCACTGAAATAACTTAAGACTCAGACAGAAGACATTAATTTTAAGTTTCGCTATTAAGTATCTATATAAGCACTCAAATTCTGAGTCTTGGTTTCCTAATTTGCCCAAACAATTTAACACAGATTTGAATCCAGGCTTTACCACATAATATTGCCAGATACTGAGCAAGTTAAGCTAATTACACACTCTTTGTCTCCATTTCTTCATCTGTTAAAAAATAAAAGTCTAAAATAACTTCTCATGGACTAGTAGTAAAGATTTTGAGATGTTATTTATCAAGTACTTGCCCCAGTACATGATCAGAATAAGTACTTATAAATGTTGACTACTTTGAACTATAAAATATATATGTAAAACAACATTTTGCATAATAACAAGAACAAAAATAATAGGCTAAAAGTCTTGACAGCATATTTGAGAAATAACCCTACCAAACTATTATAATTATTTTTAATCTTTGTACCTGAAGCTTCTGAAATTCTTCCACTTCTTGTCTTGATTCTTCAGATCTCCTCTTTCTGTCTTCTTCTTGTTGAAGCTGGTGAGCCAATTCTAGATCTCTAGAACACTGGACTCTATCCATGCCTATTAGATATTTTTAATGTGTAGAATAAAATAATTACTGAAATCATAGTTTACTTATATGTTAATTAAATGAGCATAGATATTGAGAAGTGACTATGGTTATCATGGGGGAGGGAGTGGGTGAAAAAGGTGAAGGGGATAAAGAGGCACAAAATCTCAACAATAATATAAGTTAGTCACAGGAATGAAAGCAAAGCATAGAGAATATAGTCAATAGTTCTGTAACATCATTCTATATTGATATATAGCAACTACCCTACTTGGGGTGAGTAGTCAATAATATATATCATTGTCAAATCACTATGTTGTATACTTGAAACCAATGCAATATTGTATATCAACTATACTACATTAAAAAATGGAATAAATGCTATGATTTTGCTATTTATTAATGACTCCTATGTTGTGGAAACACAAGTGCAAACCTAGCAGAACTTCAAGGGCTTCTTTAAGAGTACAACCCCCATTTAAATCATTGATATTCACTGAACATTTATGTTTAGGCTGTGACAAGTATTTTTCATTAATTATCTAATTTGATCTTCCTAACAATCTTGGGAAATTAGGTATTATTATCTACTAAAGAAATCAGAACTTAAGAGAAATTAAATAACAACCTTTCATTGGTATTCCTTATTATCACAAATAAGGCAGACTGGTTTTTAAAAGAAATTTGTGTGAAGGGTGGGCCAATAACATTAAAATATATATTTGCAAAGTATTAGATCATAACTTAATTACAGGCTGACCCAAAACAAACAGCACAACTCTGCAACATCTTGCCCTATTTCCTCTCTATGCAGTGTCCAGCAGATCCATTAATGAGTGGCTCTGGCCAGCATCTTGTCTTCTTAACTTCCCAATTTGATGGTTTAACTATGTATATGAAGATTATTGCTTTCCTTGCAAATCTCTCAGCCTCACATAGTCCTATTTGGTCCCCACTTCTGCTGTTGGAAATATGCAATAATTCACAATTGATTTTTACTTCTGAGGCCACCTACAGTGATTCACTCAGAACATATCTTTCTTTCATATCCATAGTAGGTTTACAGAATACTCTATG